ACATAGACTACTAGCAATTCGTAATTTGTAACAACTTTTTGTAGTGTTATATTTTGACAGCAAAACAATGAAAATGTTATTGTAGATATAGGCAAATTATAGTTCAGTATTTATAACTTCGTGTAAATGCAAAATTAAAAAAAAATACTATACATTTTCTTATTCTTACTATTTATGTGTAAGTCAAACGAGACTACTTATTTTATTCCAAGCGCTCTTATGAAATTCTGATATCTTCTTAAGAAAGCATCTTAAGCAACATTTTACCTTAATTTTACATTAACGCGCAGGTCAATTTAAGGCATGGGTTAATTCAGCGGTTTCCAACCTTTTCTTCTTTGCGCCCCCCTTTTGAATGAAAAAAATATTGCGCCTCCCCCTTCTTATTTTTCTAACAATTTAATTTAAATATACTTAATATAACATAAATTATGCCAAATAATACACAGTATTATAAAAAATACACATACAAACATAACTATTTATTATAATAATTTTCTGTTTCACATAAGTAAGATCTCACAAATGGTAATAAAATTTCTAAAGCATTATTTGTCAAAGTAGGAAAATCGTCCTTTACTCACACCAAAACTCAACAATATATTTTCTATCATATTAAAATCTGACAAAAAGGGGTTTTTATAGTAATTTTTTTCGAGTTACACGTTTTTTATGAAACATCTGCTTCAATGTGCTATCACTAGATAAATCAATTATCATTTTCTGCTCTGCTGTTGAATGACCAAAATCATCATGTTTCTCAATGACAAATGGATTTCTAATCCATTCGTATTTGGACGTAATTAGATAAAGTAATGCGAAAATTGGTTTCGTAGACTAGTCATATGACTGATATAATAATAAGATCTTTACTTACTTCTATTTCATCAGTAACACGAGTAATTTTAAAAGTGGGAAACATGTTAAAGTTATTAAGTTATTTGATCCTAGCTATACACAGTTCTAATTTTTTCATAAAAGCCGTAATCTTGTCTTTCTGAATAAAAGCACGAATTTGAGATCCGAAGTCTTTGAAAAATATCAACTAAATACGCAAATTTTGCGAGGAACTTTGTATCCTAAAACAAGATTGCTCCGTCTCTTTTGTTATCAGCAAGAAATATAGCAATTTCTTTTTTGAGCTCAAACACTCTTAGAAGTACTTTAAGTATTTTGCTGATTTGTTTTTGACACTTACTCAGCATTTAAAAATAATATTTTTGAAACAGCTTCGCGCCCCTCTTGGAACGGTATGGCGCCCCCCCAGGGGGGCGCGCCCCACAGGTTGGAAATCACTGGGTTAATTTGTTAAAAAAGCTTACATAAAGTTCAAAAATTTTCTTCAAATCGACGGCATTTTTATATTATAGTTTTACACTGATTGATAAATATTGGAATGCCCATAAAATTAAACCAGAAACTATTCAATCAATGCTGTTTCCTAGCCCCCAACCTACCTCTCTGGTCTAAGGTGAATAAATAAGACAAGGCAAGCGTGCAATAGCATATTTCATAAAACGCATTATTGTTCTTCGCGAAAAAAATAAGAAACTTAGAAAAAAATGCTGCTGGCGTCATAAACAATCACTCGCGACAATTGAAGTGTTTGCCGTGCGGCAGCGGCGGGCTCCGACCTGTCTGGTGCGAACGCTCACCGATATAAATCTGCGTTAAGTGTTCGTACTCACAATCAGTAAATAACTCTGTGTTGACACTTTACGCCGCAAATTCCATTTAAATTATTTTTTGCCAGCAGAATACTCAAAGGTGAAGTTTGCAGCTTTAGTTTTTCTAGTCCGACGCTTTGAAACGTGACGATTTGATGCATCTATGCACGGAGAATAAATCAGTCAGTTGAGATGATAAATAGGGGATCATCTGATATTCAATGTATTTTTTTTGCACACTAGCACTAGTAACATAATCAGGTCAATGACTTAAGACATGCAATTACGCGTTTTATAAAACATTTTTTTAGCACAATTGTTCAAAAGTTTTCGTGGATATTATTAATCAAAGTTTTCCCTTATTTGCACAATAAATCGACTTAATTATTCCTAACGAGGTTTTAATTAGATCGTAAACAGTTTTCCAGTATCTATTATCCGCGTCGGTGTGATTCAGCACGAGGCCTGTAAAGATTTTTGTCTGGCTTTAAATATATAGCAGAACAGATTACATCGTTAAGAGATTTATAAGTCGAATGCTTTTCTCGCACATGCTTACGAGGAACGCATTCGAATCAATTCAGAAATCGATTTAATGGACAATTCTTAGAAATTTGTTAAGCAACTGCTATTTTTCAGCATGGAAAATTTCTTTTCTGGCCAGTCACGCATTGAAAATAGAAAGTAGTGGTAATGTGTAGCATATACAAATAAGAAAAATGTAAAGTTAATCGTTGGAATGAGATAATTAACTTTAATTGATATGAGTTTAGATGAGGTAAAAGCAATTATGTCTATAAATATTTAATAATTTGACTTTGCTGTCGTTATAAATAATACTAAGTAGATGGTTTTTCAATTAAGAAAGCACATTTTATGAAAGAAATGAATGAGGCTTGCATATAAAAGTAGGAAAATTGATGAAATAGAATGAGTTCAGTGTACGAAGCCCTAAAAGTAAAACCAATTAAGCCCGTGCCTTAAGCGTCACAATAAAAAGGAGTATAATTTTACAACACTCGCGATTGTATCTAGAACAAAATATTTTATCTGAATAAATGAATATTAACGATGTAGATAATTTAAATTTTAGGACAACAAATATAGTTTGACATATTGTTTGTATTAATTAATAAAACATAGTCGTGTTCTAATGACATACAGACCAGGCCGTGTACGAAAGTTAACAGCTTTACAAATAGAGCAGAGAATTTCGGATCTCGGCGCATATTAGCACATTCGTCTATTTGGCTCAGAGAACGTGCCACATAATGTCAGCCGGATAATTAGGACCGTTCCCCATAACTAACGCCACACACCTGTCCAAGATCTATAGACTTACTACTATTGTCAGTATGCCCCTGGTCCAGGTAGAATATAAAATGTAAAACTATACCCGAGAGATAAAACCAACAGAATTATGAGCTTGAATGCATTTTGCTTATGGGCTGTCGGAAATTATTTAGGTCAAAACGCACATGACAATTTTTGGTTTTGGCGAAAGTTTTGCTGGCAATCTTTATTTTGACCATGATGTTTATTTCTGCGTAATTCTTCGAAAATATCGCAAGGTATATAAAAATTGAGAGAAATCGGTGATAATATGGAAGTTTGATGGTGACAAGTTTTTAACCTTTTAATAACTGACTCGTATATGATTACATTTTAAGTTCGCAAGTGTTTTAATCTTCATTGTATATAAAATGTATTCAAAAATCCCATTTGGTCAGTTTGATTAAATTTAGTTCTCATTCCTCAAAGTGTTTTTCTAGTAATTTCCGGCACCGTGGTATTACTATAAAAGCAAGGGTCTTATTAATTCTATAAATGCAATTGCTAAACTCGTGCCGTTGCAATTTTATGATGGCAGTTGTTCACAATTACCCCCAAGAGTATCCTCGAATAATCGAATAATAAATTTCTACGAGATTAAATAAGTTAATTGAATACAATATTTCTTTGAATGAATATGTGGTATATATAAATTAAAAAGAACAACAACCTTGCTCTTTGTCATCATTGTCCTGCACCGTAATTACAAATGAGCCCGAAATTCTTTTCCGAGAATCATGACAAGCTGTGATTTAGGGTCAAATTTCCACCAAACAACATAATTATTATAATCATGTTTTACAAATTATTATTTACAAAAATATAACACAATACAAAGCGTTGTGTCATTTTATTTTATTATAGTAATTATAGTTCAACAAAAAAACAGAAGACTGAATATTGCTACAAATAAAGCAAATTATATTTATTCTATAACATTTATTTCAAAGGTGCGATAAGCTTTGATGTCCGTTATTTTGTAACGATTTTCTAATAGGTAATTTGCATAGCAAATTTGCAAAATTATTTCAATATATTATACTGTTTATCAAGTTAACACTTTGTTCCAAAAAGTAAAACTGAACACTTTTCTTGCTTTTAACATGATAACAGAATTTAAATTACTTCTATGAGCTTGTACTTGTTTGAATAAATGCCATCCAAGTTTTTTCTAACGATAGAATTAGCATAATCGTTGTAGATAAATGGTAGAAAATTATTCAGAATCCATGTCAGAAAACTATTAAGGTGGAAATATTTTTAAAAATTTAGTCTCAAGTATTTATATAGCATGTTATTTAACAACTAATTATTTTGAATTGAAATTGTTTCATATCCGTTTCAATTTCGTTTATTACTATTTACCATTTTTTCAAACAAGAATAATTCGTATATAAAATCACGAGCGGATACATAAAAATGCTATTTACACGTACGATAAGTTTACGGCTGCACATTTCGAAATACTCAACATCTCGTTAAAAACTGTTATATTCATTTAGTTCATATTGAAGAACTTAATTTCAGACATTACCATACAATGAAACTTATTGTTATTACACTATTAATGAAACAGGGAATGCAGACAGACAATTTATTTTATAGACGTTTGCTCTCTCATTTGACGAAACATATTTTTTTATTATAGTCGACTAGTCAAAATAAAATATATTGAAATACAAGATCGCAAATGCAGCCAAAGCTGCACCGAAAATTCCGATCTTTGCTAAAACTTGTCTGGACAACCTGGACTTCTGACGGCATCTGGAAAATATAGGTATATCATGCATAACACATTTCGTCTCTTGAAAATTTATTGAACAGTTCATATTTTAATCATACATGGTAAAATATTTCTGAAGGCATTATTGGAAATTGATTTTAATTTTGTATAATCATATATTAAATTGTGATTACAAAATTTCTCAGAAAGATAATATTATAAGCGTGATTATTTGAACTATTTTTTTACATTTAAATATATAATCTTCCTTAATCTATTTTAATTATTACTGGAGTATTTGTACTATATCGTGATTTTTGTTTTCCACTTGAAGGCAAAATGACCCGTTTTATTATTTATGCAGTAATATATTTAATACTAATGTGATTAATCAATTATTTAAGGCGCTGAACTGTAAGTCTTTTAAATATATGAATTTGTCTAGCAATATTACCTGCAACAATTGTCTTCATGAATAAAATAAAGATATATGTCCATTCATTAAAATCTAAGCTACTATGTGCCAGTCACCAAATAAAATACAATTGTCTCCTACTTAAATTAAAATTAACTAATCAAACATACTTTAGTTTTTCTGATAAAATTTTCGGCACGTCTAAATAAAATCTATCGGTCCCAACTTGCTGTAGAAGCGAATTTAATTTAACGTAATCCACAAAATCTTTTTCGGCTGACCAGATTGTCAGAGTGTACGTCGGGCGCTCCTGCAGCAGCAACAGCATCAGCTCGGAGCAGTTTGCGGCTAAACCGGCGCGAACGGGAAACGTTACGTTTCGATTGTCAACGTATGATTGAAGCAATGACAGCATATCCGTCATGTGCTGCTTTTTATATGAGACTAGATCTGGGGGCGCAGATTGCGTAACGCTTGGGTAATCCATACCATACCGGGTTGTCCATCCTAGAAAGGAAAAGACCGATTGCAAATGATATGTATCAAAGTAATGTTATATATTCATGCAAACCTAGAGATAGTTTAGACGTTGGGAAATTAGAGGCACCGCGCAAAAATCTATGCGCATCGACAGGCACTTTATCGTTATCTTCACCAGGACCTGGCAGAATATCTGCGTTCAACCAGAGTGGAAATTCGATCTAGTAGTAACGTAAACATAAAACACATATATTTTCATAAGTCTTGATTATAAATCATTTATATTTGATGCTTACTTTTGGATAATATTGGATCAAAATCGGTAATGAAGCTTCGAATGCTTCTATCGTCTTGAAGTCCAGTTTAAGACCTTTTGGTCCACCAGATTTATATTCACGATTATGAGCTATCACGTTCTTTAGCATCACTTCCTGTAAATGAAAAGGTATAAATTATTATTAATTCATTATTAATTTATATTATCAAAAATAAGTTTACCAGACTCAAATCGGAGTTTGTAGCTGGTGGATGCCCCATCACAGGCAAATTGGATGTTACTTTGTTATCAATTGCACTTGTAACACATCCGTTGCATTTTTCATTAATTAAAGTTCCTTCAGGTAATGTTCCAATAATAACGTCAGCTTCGAGCATCATGATCGCTTTATCTGAAAAGATAAATTATTCATAAGTAATTTTAAGTAAAAGAAATATGAAGGACAAAAGTTATTTTTGATTTTATAACGACAACGCGATCAATTTAATCTAAAGACGATTAAACAAGGCGCCATCTGGCACGGCCGTCCTGAACGCTTTAGCCGATGTCCCTTCGCTCGTTGTTCTTTGCCCTCGACCTTCCGAGATGACATTGCACCATTGCACCATTGCACGTACCTCGAAGCGCGTTATCCAGGAGTGTTTTCGAATTAACAGCATGCGCCCATGTGATTCCAGCCAGGTTGGTCCCCATGTTGAAGAAGTCCGGTGTGTACCTTCCGCAGTTTTCGCTCTTCGCCTGGTCCACCTTCGCGCACTCGCCGGAACCGCAACGGCTTGTGTCTTCGTCGCCGTCGGACTTTTGACGTCTCGAGCCGATGCCGACAGCGGCGGCTGCCATGACGAACACTGCAGCGCCTGGGTCGAAGAATTCGATTAAAATTCAAACGATGGCGGCATTAGTTCCGAAATAAAAAAAAAACTCAATTTTTAGAAAAATGACGAAAACTTCATTTTGGTCTTTATATATAATGTATGTCGTAATACGAATGAAAAACATATTACTTTGAAAACACTACACCCTTTTTTCATCATTTTATTGAGTCTTTTAATAATAATAAAAAGGTGTGCATTGTGTTGATATTTTCAAAAATAATATGCTTATAATATTTAACACACTAAAATACCTTTAAAATATTAAAAACAACAATTAAAATTGTGTACTATACAAATGATAAACTCAACAATAGTATATTTTGAATATTTAATTTTAAACGTACGGTTATAAAATAATTTGTGAGAAGTTTGTAGATTTTCAGTGCGTGCATACAAAATTATATAAATTACTATATCAGAAATAAAATAAATATTCATAATATTAGTATTATAATAGACTATAAGCATTAAAAGAATCAAAAAACAAACCGTTCTAATTACTTTATTTGAATTTTATGTTATGTTTCTGCACCTTCAAAATTTTCAATTTTGAGAAACTATAATTTTTAATGGCACTAACATACCAATGAATATTATTTTAGGACTCATCATCCTGGCTGCCTACGATGACCGACCAATTGTTCAGATATGGTAAGTGATTTTAATAAATATTATACATTTTTATTGTAAAAAATACGAATGTATTTATTTAAATATTATCACCAACGTCTATTCTGAAACTATGATTATACCGACAAGAATCGACAACCAAATTCATATTAATTTAAGAGCAGTTGTTGGCAACTCAATTCTAGAGAAGTGATATTGGACCATATTTATTTTATTGTGTATATTATTTTATTTCTGGTTTCTCAAATACAAACTGCATATAAAATTGCATATGCCAACTTATAGATTGTTATTTCTACACTAAAAGAAATAATACATATCATACTTTATAGATTTTAGGGGCCTTGGTCATAATTATTTCACATTAACAGCTGATATGAGCATAAGAAACAAATGTTAGATTTAAATATTTATCAATAATCATATGTCATTTTAAAAGCTAATACATATTCAAAAATAATATTAAAATATTATTTTACCGCAAAGTTATCAACTTCTGTATGATCATTATTGTATTATACCAAATTCTAAAGACTTCCCCCGTTCTTTTTCTCGTTATTTCCAGCCCATGTGATAATACAAGATAGAATTTAACGTTCAAATGATATGAAGAGGTCAAAGTGTGTGATAATAAACCAGGAACGTATTCTTTTTTGAAAAAATATATGCGCTAGCCGTATATTATTTATATCACAAAATGAAGAATAAATCAATTTCAATTTTGCAAATCACTTGCGTATACAAAATCTGATTTTATCTCACCTCGATCAAGCTGACAAGTGCGTCCTGATCTCAATCTGATTAAACAATACAGTTTTGCTATTTTTAGGTGCCTGTTTCAAGTAAAGTATACATTATTAATACATATCGACTTCATCGACTACTAATTTTATATGCGAGATGCATTTTTTTAACTAACTTTTAATTTTGACATATCTACATACATTTGTAATCATTGTGTGAAAACAAAACAATTATCTTTTCCAGACTACTTGAATTGTGCACGATATTTTTATAGATAGATAATATAAAGCACAATTATTATTAACGGATGATAAGATAATGCTTTCAATAAATAATATCAAGTTATCATATGCTTGAAATTCTTTTGTTTGTCAAATATTGATAGCATTCTGTAATTAGTAAAATTATTAAGTATTTTGTAAAGAATACTTCAATCAAACTTTAAATTTAACTAAATAAGCTAGCTAGTTTTTACAGACAGTCAGATACCAACTTGCTAAAACGCATAATCAAATTTGTAAATTTCAAAATGCCCAGTTTTTAACGTGGTAGTAATTATTTATTAATGTTTTTCATAAATGCTATATTTATATACAATAATGGTGAAATACTATATAATTTCTTATAAGTAACAACAATTTGATATGTAACAAATATTCTTAACACATTGTTGATACTGAAGAGGCAAGCATGTTTGACGATACAGCATTACATTTAGGTTTTATTTTTACATATAGGAACATTATTTAAAATGCTATCATTAATTTTACTAACATATATATCTCTTATATAGAATTTATCTTATATAGAATTGCTTTGGTAGTAACATATAATGAGAGTGTTTTTTATTCATTTTTCACATTTTACTCATATTCAAATTAATTTCAGTCATATAGTATAATTGATATAAATTTAAGTATTTTTTATGTTCAACGTATCGGAAAGTGTGAAAAACGTTCTCTCGATGTAAATCTATCTTATTTAATCTAGAGATCTAATTATATAAAATTAATTAATTCAAATACAGCGGAATATCACTAAAATGCTCTTGTTCATGCGAAGCTGTTATATTATTGATGTTAAATCACCAGTTACGAAAGGCAAGAAAATGTGTGACGGTCATAATTGACAATATATTTTAAATCAAGGCACTTTATTTAAATGTATGTAATATCTAATAATTATAATTAAGGAATGATTAATATAAATTCCATAAAGTCTTTTTTGTTCACATGGACAATGTAATACAACACAACAATCGTGTTCTTTTCTAATGTTTCTGTCCATTCATCAATGGCAAAGCTGAATCCTTCTCTCCTGGAGGAACCATTTCTAACGATCCTTGTGCGAATCTCGAGGTATTTACGGCGTAGCTACCAGTTTTAGTTTTATCTTCTCTGTTTTTGCGGGCTAAAACTTCTCTAATAATCATGATGGTCATAAGACTCAGTCCCAGACCCAGAAGGATATATCCGCAGAGTCGACCAGCCCATGGGGCCATTGCTGCTCCCGCGATGTTGGAAGCTGTCGCGTCCGGAACGGTCACACGATGTTCAAACCATAAAACGGGCATGAAAACTCGAGGAACTTTGCTGTATAAGCTAAAATAATAAAAGAATATTTGATTTTATCCACATTTGTATTTGAGACTTGTATATAGTTATTCCAAAATACCTGATTCCAGGATGCGGCGACATCAAAATATTCACTTGGAATCTTGCTGCTACATCAAGCGGTATTCCAGTAGTCTAATGAAAATAAAATTTGATTTAGCTATTAATTTAGCCTTGATAAATCATTCAATAATTCATCTTACCGGTTCTAAGACAATGTGGAAACCGTGCTTGTCTTGTGATGGATTCAATCCTTCAACTGCATCTAGGTAATAGGGATCGGCACCGTAAAAATGCGGGAATGACATGAAAACTGGTGTTCCATACCGACATGCTGAAATATTCATCACGCCGGAAGGCACACATTCACCGTTACAGAAGCATTTATTTTCCGGGTATAAAGTACCTAAAAAAAAGCATAGTTTATAGAATCACTCCAAATGAGATGTTAACAATGCCATGTAATTAAAATTCTATGTCCCACCATTATCGACTGTCCTGGCGCCACCAGTATATTTATAACCAAGTACACCCTTGACTTCGACATCTTTCTCATAATCAAATCGAAGCTTCCTGCACATATCTGGAGAAAACAACCACACGGGATCTTCTCTATTACGATTGGGTGGATAAAATGTTCCTGCTGAACCGTTGACACCAGCGCATTCCTTTTCGAAGAAAGGCAATTCTTCAGCATAATTCCATTGTTCTACTCTGCCAAATTTACTTATGTCATCAGCTCCTGTTGCCATGTTGAAATGCCCGGTTAGATGAGACGATCCGTTTCGCTGGAGAAATTGACAAATTGAATTGATCAGTTTGATTTTAAAAGTATTTTATACATTGTAGTATTGTATCAATTTACCGTGTAAAACCATCCGAATTTATCAAAAGGGACAGCTCCACCGCCAGTTAACGAAGGCATCGATCTAGCCATATCGATTAAAGAATCTTCGTATCCTAAAAATAATAATTCTTCAACTCGTTTTGTGACATGTCTTTCCTGATTGTATAAAGACATTCCCATATTAACTGCAGATTTACGTAAACTTGGCCAGTTGTGTGCTTGGTGACCAGCTGCCTATTAGAATCAATTAGAAAAAACATCATGAATCATGAAATAAAATTATAATAATCGTTATTGCAATGCTATGGTAAATAGCCGCAATTATTTTGTAATTAACTTGTTCTCAGTAAAATAGATTTTAATATAATTTAAAATAATTCAGATCTATTTGTTTATATTTTAATACTTACCAATGCTACAACATTAACCGTATTAATTTCATCATCCAAGGATCCAACGCTTCCTTCAGGGTCAAAATAGAAGTCGGCCTTTTTTCTAAAGCTGACAGTGTTATTTTCAGGATGCCATGTAATATTTTCTTTATCTGGTACTTCCCTAAATCTGTAAGGGCCCAGTTGTTGCAAAATTGGTTTTGTTGACGTGTTCAATAAATCTTCAGGATTTGTCCAGTTGTACAGATAAATGTCCAGATTTAATGTCACTGATGGTGATTTCCATGGTTTATAACTTTCTGACTCAGGACTCAGACTTAATTGCTTTAAAATAAAAATAAACGTCACAAAATCGTTAAAACTACATTGTAATAATTGGAATTATGCGCAAAAGTAACTTAAAAAGGTGTAAAAATTATCAGCAATAAAACAAGTATAAATTTTCGTTGGCATTGATTTTTTTATATTTTTAACTTGTTAATTATCAAAATTGCCAATTGACGTACTGCGTTTTTTTATACATGGAAAAACTTATATTTATGCAAAGAAATTATATATATGCAAAATCATTTCTCACAGATTCATTACCATGGAACTAAAAATATAATTATCAATGCCGTATGTTGTAGTTATTGCTCCGGTATTATTTACATTTTATGTTAATTTGTTGAAAATAGCTAATTGAAAATTTTAGTTGATTTCAAATTGAAATTCAATTACATCTAATCATATTTTGTACAAACGAAACTAAGCTGTTTGTAGATAACTAATAAAATACGTTAGGAGGTTTTTTTCAAACGTGAATCTCGACATGTTAATTGGTTAAATAATAAGTGACGCAATATTTTTTTGAGTATTAACAGTTTGTTAAATCGTCTGCGTTTAAATTAATCAATAGAAGAGTCTTTTTACTTACCTTTTGTAAGATTGCTTGAAACACTGATGGCCAAATCGCCGCAATTATGATACCTAAAATTGCTACTATGAGGCCCGAAGTGCCCAAAGCGCAAGATGTGCAAGAACGACGCATCTTGACGCTTTTCTACCTCTTAAGGTTGTTGTCTTTGAAACACTGGAAAAATAAAAAAATATTTAAGATTAATGAACATGAAACATGTAAAAAAATACTGGGATATCTAAGTGGTAAATTTTGTATGTTGCTTCCTGATTTTGATAGACGCATGGATTGCGATAGTGGCATGTCAGAAGTCATTGATAAAAGAAAAAGGAAGAAAGCATTTCTCGTGGATACATTTTTTTAATTGGTCTGAAGATTAAAAAGTGTTATTTACTTTGAACTGCAACGACGTAATATTTATTATGAGAAATTTAGGATTATTATTTTTCAAATATTAATTTGAATTAAAACCTGTTTATACTCATATTCAGCAATTGTTCAGCTAATTTATCAGACTTTTTTTTTTTAACTTAACCTTAGTTGCACTTTCATGTTACGAATTGACTTAGAAACTGGTTCACTTAAAAATTGACTCAGTTATTTGACTTAAACACTGGCAACTGTCACTTGATATCATATATGAGGTCTGTTAGTACAAGTGAAAATTTGATATCACTACTGCTTGAGATCAAGCAGGCAAGTAATTGCTAGATCATGTTTCTATCATGTAGCATTGAGTTACCTATTCAGATATTTTTATAGTTAGAGTTATGTGATTTGATCTGAATAAAATTTTCGTACAATTCTGAATTTTCGTTGAACGTGCTAATGCAAATAACCTTACCGTCTGTTTTTCAAGAAAAAATCTCGACAAACAAATTATTAATAACAAATAACGATATAGCCTATGACCTTAAGAAATCTTTAAAGCGCAAATATACAAACATACTAATAAATAACGAGTAAAATTGAAGTTGTAAATATTCAATAACAAAGAATCACAAAAATTATTACCAATTAAAGGAAATTGTTAATTTTATTGATCTCTATCAGATTTAATGAACTTCTATTAACATACATTTACTGACTTGTAAGTTATAGTTCAATCTATGAAGAAAATAATTTAAATTAATTTGAATTAATTAGGCTTTAATAAGTCTAATCAATTCGAACTTCCTTTGGCATTGCATAATTTAATATCGTAATGAGGATGTCATTGAAAATTGAACGTTGATTCACTTTAAATATTCAAAATAGACCAAACTCAATTCTTACCTGGTGATAAAAATTTTGTACAATAAGAAGTTATTTCTATAAAAATGATATTACTTTCTTGAGCAAATAGATGTCGATTGAAAGAAATGATTGATATTGCTTGCTAGAGGCAAATAAATATAAAAACCAGCTCATATTTTTATTCTGCCAAATAAATTTCCAATTTGATAATTATTAAATAATCATTTACCTTGCATGTTTATCGTGTGATCAAAAACTCTTCCTGGCGTGTTAAGTTGCGCGTCATAGTTTGTTAATTTAGCGATTATTAATGCGAGCATATTTTAATTCATATTCTTCAGAAAATAAAACCTTGATATTTCTTTAATTATTTTTTTGTGTAAGTACCATATTTTGTAAAACCAGAATCCTCAGCTTTGACGTCAGTTTCCAAAATCCGAGTGCGTCAGAATCGTGCAGGTTTTATTTTTTACTCAATTATTCAAATGCAGTCGTTTATTATTATATTATTTAAAGTGATCTTCTTAGTAATTCAAAGCAATTAAATATGTGTGAAAAAAAGTAGTACGCATTTGTTAGAATCGAAATAACAGAGTTTGTTGACGATGAATAGAGAAGTGCATATGAAATTGCATTGCAGATTGCATATTGCTTTATATTTATGTTCGACCATTAGACGTCCATTAATTACGTGAGGCTTTTGGGGTAAGAGGGGTTTGACAAAAAATTACGTGGGGTAGGAAAGGTTTTAGTAATACGTGTATATTTATTTTTTATCTAATTTTTCAAAAAAAAAAAATCCAAAATTTTATGATTTTTTTGTAAATTCGAAAAATTTGTTCGAAAAATTGTACGCGACTAAAAATAGACGTGATATTTGATGGAGAAGGGGGTTAATTGTGAAAATCACGACGTATCACCAAAGGGTGGGGACTCCAAAAATCCCTAAAAATCTATGACGTGATTAATAAACGCTCCCTAAGAAGCAAAATAGAACGTGGAAGCCAATGATGCCCTCATATAGTGTATTTCGATATTTGTTGCAAAATTTATTATTATCAAATTTGCATCGATTATTCACGTTTTTGTGGAGAACAATTAAAATAATTATTCAAAATTAATGTATATTAGTTACATATAACTGACCATTTCAATCAGTCATAACATTTATTAAACAAATAATAAAAAAACTTACTCAATTAAATGCAAATATATGTGACGACAATTTCCTATATTATAATATGTTTTCGTACTTTCATTAAAATTTATTCATTTGGTGATTCATACTATCTGATCTGAATATATAATTTTAATTAGTTTAATGATATTTACGTTATACTATTTGTGACAAATAAGTTGTAAATGGTAGAACTACGCTGCTGTAGAAAATATATGATTGAATTTTTTTATAATTTTTTGCAAAACTTAGTAATTAATATATTTATTTAGTATGTCACGACAACTAATTTTTTGCTAAAGCAACTAGGTTGGCCTAGCCTGTTTAAACGTAAATAAACATCACACCTACATTCAAATATATAAAATCCATTTAGTTCACGAAGAAATACTATGATACTTAATACACGTGCGTTGCCTAATAGGATTTCACGTCGAAGGACTAAGGAATTCAACTGATCTAATAATAAGCATATTGTTATGCTGACTTTCTGTGCTGATTTTAATCTAATTGTCAGCATTTTACTTGAAAACTGATGCAAACATCTCCGATTTTTACTCATATATCATAAGACACAACATCAAACAAAAGATAACTAAACTTGACTCTAAAAAAATTTATAGAGTCAAAAGATTACTAATTTTTATTAAATTTGCTACTGAATCTTCAAATTATTATTGCTTACAATATTTAAAAATAAACATTTTACTCCATTATTATCTTTGTTCGGTTGTGTCTTCAATATTATTGTAAAGAGAATTCAATGATTTCGTTCAAATGTCTCGCCAACATTTTGAATTAAATTAACCTTCAAGTCAGCCTTAAGAAGGTTGCTTTTAAAAACTAATTTAAAGGTACATTGAACTCCGAAATAATTTTCGGCGATGGTTAAAAATAATGCTCGTGTTTTCACGATAAATATGTGCTAAATGACGAGATAGGACATTTATGAAGCTTTCATATATTTATCTCAAATAATACGCAATATATATATATTTTTTTGAGATGAATGATACTTGTCATATACATAATTGGAAAAGTGCTCTGGAAAGGTGCATGCATCATACATCCACCGATGTGGAGATAATTATTGGGGAAAGAAAGTTCTAACTTCTTAAGTGAATTTGTAGGAAACAATGCTCTGGCTCATCGATCAACAATTTTTTATACATATTAATTTATTCAAAATTCTATTTTAGCATTTAACATAAGGTTTTTTCCTATTTGGTCATAGAATTTTTTTCATCGATGCTTCTATGGCCGGACTTTTGATTTATTAGTGGATTCACCTTGTACAACAAATATATTCGCACTTTTGCTTTTCGTTATTAGTTTTAGTTTAGTATCTAGTTGTGTTTGTGGGAAGTATCATCGGGTCAATTGCAAAGAGCACGACAATGTTCTATAACTATAACGACTGATTGATATACAATGCCCAGCACATACTCTACTATTCATTTCGTCACTTGATTTCCTTTCAGAAACGATTACTAGAGAATTCTAGACCATCGACTATAAAAAAAAATATCAAAACTAGTGGTGCATGGCATCGTGCCTTAATGCAAAATGCTGGAACTTTGATATATTTTGGCAATTCAATAGATTCTTTTATCAGCTTTAACATTTCCTACTTCATTTGAATAGTATTTTATTCAAAAATATTCGAAAGGATGCTTATCTTTTTCTCAAGTTTCTCAAAAAAATATTTTTTTAACCTGTAACAATTTAACTATTGAAATATTTTGCATATTTTATCTCATACGGAATTGTTAATTAACGACTACTCAGTTATCAACAAAAAGTATTTTTTAAAAATTTTAAGCTAATTACTGTAATTTCAAATGCAAACGCTTATTGTATGCTTTTATATGTATCAATATTTATTTTTAATTTATTTTATTACATAAACTACTTTGTAATATAACTCATGAAAGAAGATTGCTTTTAATATAATTCGTGTAATTGCAAAAATCTGAGAGTAAAGTTTTCGTCAGTTTGGGTTGACAAAGAGTAAAATAAACATCCCTTTAGTCCGGTTTCAAGACCCCAAAGCTGTTAAAACTTTACGGTATTGGAATTTTAGCTTATTATTTAAAAGTTATTTTTAGAATCCATTTTCACACTTGGGGGTTCAGTTTTTCAACACATGTGATCGTACGATTATTAAATCAATAGGTTCAAAAGTGTGCCCTGTTGCTTTAAATGAAGTCGCACAAAAGGTCAAATCTGACAATTTGCCTTGTGAATGTTCTCTACACATCTTATTTTGAATACAGTGGGAAAATGTGATCAGATGCAGTTCATTGTATTATTTTCTTATTAAATTCATAACACGATCATAAAAATGATTGTATGCACTGGATGAACGATATTATTGGGGATTGATATAATATTATAAAGAACTTATTAAATATGTTTTGTCTTTCTGATCATCTTACCCACTACTAATTTTGCACAATCTCCAACCAGACTAATTGACCTCTCCTTCCATCCTACACCAAAATTTATCACAAACAACGCAGATGATTACTTTGTTAAATTCTTAACACGAAATGGCCAGAAATATTATATTCAAGAACATTTATCCGAGAAGATTAACGCATTGTCATCTTCATCATCTCTTGAAAGATACCACTTACATTTTTTTTGTATTAATAATTATTATTTCATTGAACATTAGCATAATGTAGTGCATTGATTATCCAATAAGCAAACTTGCAAACGCGTCATCGCACTTGCGAGTGCTAATTAATTCTAGAAAAATCGGTATTAGAATATTTTATAACAGAAGTAAATTATACATTGTATTGATGCAAAGGTAAAATGTAAAGGATAATAATCCTATTGAAATTCGAATTTGTGATCGCAAATCTTTATCAATGCTGGAAAGGGCTATTTTACTTGAAAACACATTTTCTCCAATTTTCTTCATTTTCAAGTGAAAGTCAATATCACCACTGATTTATATGAGGTTGTCCGAGATGGATATCAAATCTTGGGTTGAAAATAAGCCGGAAACTAAAACTATTTTTATAGAAATCTACAATGCACCTGATCTCTTTCATACCTTTCTTATCTATGAACAAGACGTGTAATTGTAACCGAGCTGGACTACTGACTTGATACTCACAATTCACATTCCCATTGAATAAAAATCTACATATATATATATATATATATATATATATATATATATATATACATATATATGCCCTTTATCTCTTGGTTCCGGATGCTCTTTAAGGACAAATTTACTGACAAAAATGATTCACTTCGAAACAAAACAAATATGTAACCTAATATTTACTCCACTGATAGCACAGAAATTTTACTTTATTGGCCTGTAATCGATATGATGAGAACCTTTATTGAAAATTTAGTGGTGTTAATTATCTTCTTTATATAAAATTTATTATTAACACCAAACACCTTTTTTGTTATTTTTGAAGAGAAATTAAAACTATTTTTTGGGTTTTATTAGCTGTTGTGTTGTAATTCCTTATAATACGTTCATATTTAGATACATTTATAGACAACATATTTAAATATATGTTGAGTGAAAACCTTTATTAATACTTGATATCAAACTGTCCGAGGAGAAAATGAAATCCTTAGAATCTTCTCTTAGAAAGTTGATCACCAAATACAATGGCACAACTATGCACTATTTATTTTATTATTATTTATAATAATTTTCATAGCTTTTTTATTAGTGTATTCAGAGTTATTAATATTATTTTTAATTTGGTTATAGTTGTCTTCAACATCATCATGCAATGGCCAAATTTAATTAAATTTATTAGTCAAATCAGTTCATAGCAGTTTAAATGATCTACGTAACATTGTACAAATTAAACTCAATTGGAGCATTATTTTCTCCGAACGTATAATAGTAATGAAATTTAATAAATACATTAAATAAGTAATTTTTTTTTTTCAAAATAATTGGTAAATAAATTTTGTAACAAGTGAAGTATATCAAATGCCGAATTATTGTAAATCAACTCTTATACGAAAAGTCAATATTTACTATGTAGATGGTAGGTTAAATCCCGGATCAGTAAATTAATAAAACGACAAGAAATATTAACGCAAAATATTGTGATTGATGTAATAAAATAAAATCTTCAATATATTTCATAAATCCTTATTTCCCAAGCGGTTTGTAAAATCAGTTAAATCGATTTCTTGTTATCAACAATTTGTTTGTTTGGGTAATATATTTACTCTAAGAAGAGAAATGTAATAAGTAGTTTTTGTATTTACATAATCCTAAATATGTAAGTAAAGATTAGAATAGATAATTTAGATAAATTTACACTGATTTGATTTTTAAATCACTTTATCTCCTGTGTTGGTAAATATATCCAAGTACTATTGTACTCATAATGTAAACTATTAGCTTTGTAACAGTTATCTGGTGCATTCGCTTCAGTATTATAAAAATGATGTGTCCATGTAAATTTATCTTGAATCATTATCTCAAATGGATTTATGTGATAACACATCGATAAGAAATGATCTTTCGGAATGACGAATAACAAAAACATGAAGATGAAACTACTAACGGAATATTATCCAAAATTAAAGTAATAATAATAAGAATCGGTATAATCTGTAAATTATCAATTGTGTTTGCCTGGGCTCTACGGGAAAAGTTTTGGTCTTGCAACCACAATCCAGCCTGATATCAAGCAGTAGTAGCCTGATACCAGATTTTACTTGAAAATGTAAATCTAAGTATGATTTCAAAGTCATCACAAAGTAAAAGAGCAATCACTGGGTTGTTTTTTAATGATACTAGATATAATAAGAATTAGATCACAACACTAATAATAGTCCTCTATTTGTTTTATAAAATGTATCACATTATTTAAAAATGTTTAGTATTTTTTTAATTTGGAATATTTTAAATCTAACATAACCCTGAACCGTAGAAGTATTTATTTGTGTATTCAATTAAGTGCACTGTAATGAAACACCTGCGGCTACTTGAAAATACTAATTGAACTATGATTTACTTGTTAGTATCATCATTGTCAATGTCTTCAATAATAGATACTCGTATATTTTTTCGAAACTGGATAATTAATTACTGAAGAAGTTCGAATTTTAAAATATAACTTAAGAAGATTGATTTTTGCCTAATTCATTACTTATCAAAAATATGTGCTTGATATTAGTCCAAACTATTGATAGGAACAACATGTGAATACATTTTTTGAATAAATTCATTAAATATTATGTAACATTTTAATTACAACAAAAAATCTGATTTGCAAAGCGAACAATGTATAACCATACTTTTTGTATATATTCATATCAATTAATGTTATGAAAAATATTCCACAAGTAACTTAGTAATTTTTTCGCACAATTTACAAGTAAAAGTAAAAATCAAGTTCCTGTATAAAAATAACATATGAAATTAAATTTCTATACATAACAGAGTTCTTGTGGATGTGATCTGCTAAGTAAAAATATTTGTCTTTTAATAGCAATCAATTTATTAACTTGCATTTACATTTTCGGGCACCTTAACCTTTTATCAATATTATTTTATGATAATTTTGATTATAAAAAATATTTATCATACAAAAATTCCACTGTAAGATATCTATGAAAATCTTGTAAGTGTTTATCACTAACACTCGAAATTTTAGAACGTGATATAAAAATTTAAGCTAAATGCATTTATCTAATTCTAATCCAAATTATTTATATTTTCATGAAAATATAAATAATTTGGAATAGAATTAGATGAATAAATATAAAGTGTATTTTGTAATAAAATGTAAAAAATATTAAGATTTGAATTCAAAGTTTAATTAACGAAAAAATTACTACCTGGACTACTTTTTTTACTTACTCATATTTTATTCTCAAATTTACTTAATATTTTGGTTTGATTGTAAAGACGGATTGTTTTTTTTAGTAAAAGTGAATAAAAAAGTATATCTCTGAACCTTTCGAAAATATTATTCTTTCATTAAAATATTATTTCAGAAAATCAAAATTCAAACAACAATTTTTTTTTGCAAAAATGATTAATAAAGCGTATTTTATTACAAGGCTTATTATCAATATCATTTTAGCAATTGATAAATAGATTATTTGCGTTAATTATCATCAAATCAATCATTTAAAAATTGAAATTAATTCAGATTACAATCGTAGATTATAAATTAATATAATTAATTTAAAGAAAATTTATTTATCCAATAAGTTAGGTTATCTCATTTTTCGGCCAGACGTTTTAACAAATGGCCAGATATTTAAGAAATTTATATTAAAGACTATAAATTAATATTATTACAATTATTATTGATCGGGAAGTGATCAATATGATTGATGACAAATATAAACTTATTCCATATATTTATTTAAAAACAATATGCTAAACAGGTATTTGTTTTGACATTCAAACACGTGCTTTTAGTTATGGCATGTGCTCGTCTGTAACAACGGAATCTTACATGGAAATATTAATGAAATTGTAGAATACATTTAATAAAATTTAAAAAAATAAATTATTAGATTCATATTTAGCTTAATTCAAGCGTATTTGTATTTTTTTTAAATTTCAATAACAGTTACAACTGCTAAATAACATCTAGTAACATTAAAATAAAGGACAGTATTTCCAATGAAATGATATCTATATGATGATAATTTAATATAAAATAAAAAGCAAATAATGATAATAAAATGATAAATGAAATTTGTGAATAATGAAAATAATATTAGAACTGAAAATTTAAATAGCAAAAAATGAGAATTATTCAGTATGGAAAATTCTATGATTTCAAATCTTTAATTTTTAATTTTATTAATCAATTATAAGGGTTTAGGATTCATAAAAATTAAGGATTATAATGTTTTTTGTAAATAGCCAAACAAATTGAAAACCAACAATAAATTTACCCTTGAAAATGGTTTCAGAAAAAACTTTCTTATATGTTCATATAATAATTTTTTAAAGTGTTTCAAAAATCAGTAGCAGCTTTACAGTAATTAATATAATAATAATAATAATTTTCATTACCTTTATTATATTGTTTATCACTCGTGTGATTTAATTTTATGGAAAGACTCAATCAGGCTAGTGGGTAACATTTCAGAACCTTACTTCGATAATTTACAAATTACCGAAATTTTTTGTAAACCCAGCCTTTTAATCAATATTGCTATTATATTTTCGTATTATTATTGAAGAACGCCATAAAGAATGATCTATAAAGACAAAAATCCTTTATCCTAAACAAGAACTCACCCCTCTAAATCTCTCATACGTCCTACTAGGATATGTTGGGATGTTCCAAACAAACAGAGATCTTATATTTTCGATCTAAAATTCATCAAAATTTCACTGTCACATTTGTTTAATAAACAACAATATACAGTTTATTACAAATTTAATTTATAATTCACTTTCATTCTCTGCACATTATTTTATTATTTTCACACAAGAATATTTTCGAAGGTCCTCCTCGTAGGATAGCGTTTCGATACTGGGCTGCTGCATGAAATAGCCAGTTGAAAGCATGTGCTGGACTCTGTCTCGTGTCGTACTCGTATGTCGTATGTCTGTCGTAGTTGTATTTTGGACGGAGAGCAGCAAGTGAATGAATTATCAATTCGTGCTGTAAAACTTGTGGAACATTTTCGGACGTTAAAATCGATCTTCACTGAATAAAAGATTGGTCTATGAGTAGTCCAGAAATGTTATATAAAATTGAAATAGTAATTGTAAACCATATTTTAAATATGATTAAAATAAACTTAAGTAAATCTTATACACCAAATCAATGGTCTCAATGAAATATTAGGCACAAATATTATTTCCTCAATAATTTTTATTTTATTTTAATTATTTTACATGAATTAAATTTAAATTGGTAATCATGTTATAGCTTGAACAATTTAAATCTAGTCTATATACAATGTCATATCATAATTCTCGATTCATCATAATTTTGGTGAAAACGTCGACGAATTTTGTACTAATATGTTCTAATCTAGGAATAGAATCAAATCGCATTTTCAATAATAATACGGAAATTATGATAGCATTGATATTGATTGAAAGACAGGCTTTACAAACAAATATTCGGTTTGAAAAAATATATAAATTATAAAGAAACGACTGGGGCGATCATCAACATACTAACTAACATAACATACTTTATCGACTGTCAATGAATATCTTTTAAGTTTTTAATGTTACAGTAATTTTGCCTTTAAGCAAGTCGGATTTTCTAGAGACAACATAAATTCTTCTAGGTAAAAAATTACCACTAATATAAAACAACTTTAAGTCTAATAATTTGAAAAAATATTGATAAATGTATATTATTGAACACTAATTCTTCATGCTAACATTCTTAGACCATTTACATTTAGTATATATAAAATAATTTATCAATTAAGAAATCAAGATCACAAAATAAAAGTATTTGCCTCACATGTTAAAATATCTAACAACTATCTTGTTTTTTCTAGCAACTTTCAATACTAACGACCAGAAATATATATATATATATATATATATATATATATATATATATATATAATTATTAATACATAAATTATTATAAAAATACTATAAGAGATTTACTTGTTTTATACTATAGTAAAACAGTACCAAATGAGGATTATGAGAAAATTTAGTAAAACATTGAATGAATTTTACAATGTCAGTTAATTACTATTAGAGATTATTTAGTGTTAATAATTCTACAAATGATGTAAATAATGAATATATATTGACTTGGCTATTCTACAGCTTTTATAAAATATTTCAATCCTGGAAAGATATTGTCAAAAATTAAACTTTTATTTTAAAAATATGAGAATAGTTGTAAAACTATTAGCACTATCCTATCGTAAATTTATATCAATTTAAATAATAAATTGGTGCATTATGTTTTATAAGAATAGTAAAATCGAATGCAGCATGTAAGCGTTCAGTTAAGAGTAAAAATGAAAATCAACTAAATATTATATATTTATAGATATCTGAAATATAAATAACATTTTCTTTAAGTATAGCGTAGATATACCTAAAGCATTAAGAAATCGTCTGAGAGAAACTATGATGAACTTTTAGATTAAATAGTGATAAACTAATTATATTATATCAAATGTCTGCTTTTAGCCACCACAATAACGTACTATACGAATTGTGAACTTTGTACTGTATGCATTCATACAGCATACAGTAATTGCAAAATAATTTTATAAAAATACTAGATAAGTGTGTATTTATTGAATAAAAATGTATCCGAAGTTCACAAAACAATTATTAAGTAACTATCTCCAAATTTAATTTGACCTAAAAGGGTTAACTTTGAAAAGAAATAAGTTCCAATAAAGTTTCAAATGGAATTAAAGTATAACCAAGTGGATCTCACATCATCGATAATAGCGTTCAATAAGTGAATAATACACCGTAATACATTAAACTGCTTTATTAAACTAAATACAGTCGTATGTAAAAAAAATACACATTTAGAACTGAATCATCTGTCCCTTCCTCTTCTTGTCACCACCAAGCTCGAAGTGCTTGCAACGCTTAAGTGGGATTTGTTTCCTGAATTTACAGTCGGAGCATTCCATTCTCAATACAATTTTCTTAGTAGTTTTAGCCTACAGAACAGAAATAACATTGAATATATCATGCGATATAAAAATTACATTCAGGATAGCAAAATAATAAATACCTTTTTTCTGAAGATAGGTTTGGTCTGACCACCAAAACCTTGTTGTTTTCTGTCGTAACGACGACGTCCCTGGGCTGCATGTCGTTCTTTTGATTTTTTATATTGTGTTACTTTGTGTTGCTTGTGAACCTTGCATTTTTTGCAGAAGGTTCTGCGTAATTTTGGAACGTTCACCTAAAAAAATGACGTATGTGAGTACATCGCAGATTGAGGTTATTCACTTCACCTGATGTTTAATACCATTTTGTATAAAAATTACACTAAATACAATATCGCAAGTAGTCTAAATTTGCGTGAGCTTAATACTAAGAATATTAATAGATTTATTTTAAGGATGAACGAAGATTAAGAAATAATATGGCTTGTACGTCCACTTACCATGTTTGCGAGGGTAAAAAGAAAACTTCTTTGCCGACAAACCGGAGGTTATGTTGTTCGCCATTCATTTTGTGTTTTTAATGTTGTCAACATGCTTTTACTTCGGCTGTTTTGACAGTTCTGACACCGAGAGTTGACAGATAAAGATGATTCTTCTGTCAGTTATTATTAATGATTTCGAAAGTGAATAAACCCATTTAGAATATTTTAATTGAAAATACATAACACAACAATGGAGGAAATTGACAATATTATTATTCATTCTCTACGACAGATTGGATGGTTAGTTTCTCACATGCAATAAGGATAATTCTTGCTTTTTATATTTCATGGATGTTTATTTGCAAATTACAGTAACTTGGATGAAGAAGTATCCTCCGTGGGAGATTTTACTCCAGAATTAGTTATAGAAGCTGCAAGTCGTTGCTTAAATATAATTCAACCTAATTTAGATTTACCATTAATTTTACCTGCTAACATGGCTATGCGTTTCAAAGCTACAGCGGCTATTGCTGCGGCTTGCAAAGTATATACATTATTTTATTTTATCATAATATTGTCATATATTAATATATCAATTTTTGTTAGGATGTAGGATATAATGGTGATATAGGTTATCAAGCATTTTTATACTCCAATGAGAGCGACCTACGTAAAATTTTTATGTTTCTTATTGAACACCTACCTAAAGACGCTGATAAAGAAATTGTGTCAGGTCCCAAAGGGCTTGCAGATGAATTGCTACAAAATATAGCCCATGTTTTGCATAAACAACTTACAGCCCCATTTTTATTTTCTCAATGTAAACCAAATGGTTTCAGAGTATATGATAGTGGCATTTTGTGCATAGAAGGCCGACCAAGAAAGTTGAATGTTAGTGAAACTAAATCACTAACTATACCACAACCATACTTACCAAATGTTTGCCAAGGTATTTTAGTTAAAAGTTGTATAAAAATGGATTATTTTTCAAAAGAAATATTAATTTGTTCTTGAAACATTTACAGCATTCAAAAATTATTGGGTAAAATATCTTCCATTTTTGAAAGATCAGATAGATAGTCACTCTATCATCCAATCTGTTATATCTCATAATGATAAAAATTTAGGAAAAACTTCTACAGAACAAGATATTCAAAATCATTTACTGAAACAGTGGAACAAAATTAACAATTCTGTTAGTAGCATTACTGGTGATGTTAATAGTCATTCTGTAGATAATTTCTCAAAAGCAAGTTTAGATATAAAAGCAATTATTAAAAATGAAGTAAATGTTAATGAGCAACAAGCAGAAAATGAGGCAGAAGTTATAGTAGAACTGGCAAATAAAACTGAGACTATGAATGCAGATATTGGAGCTTATGCTTGTGAAATAGTAAATTATCAACAAGAATTACAAAAGTTATTAGATGATAGGTATAATGAAGATAATCTGTATAAAAAAGCTATCGACAAGTATGAGCTGATTGTTAAAAGTCGGACTCTATTAGACAACAGAGAAGAGAATTTATTAAAATTGCAAAATAAAGCAGAAGCCAGTGCTAAGAAGTTGATACATTTATCAAAACAATGGGAGGAACATAAATTAGGTTATATGGAACAATACCAAGCAGCAAAAAATAAAGCAAATTTTAAATCTGTGAGTGATAATAAAATAAATGTTTACATTATTGAATATCACAATGTTATTCTTTTTTAGTCAGAACATAAACAATTAATTGAATCATTAGAAAATATAACACAAGAGTGTGATAACATTATTAGTCAAATTAATCTTAAAACTAATCAACAAGCACAGTTATCAAAGGAATATGAAAATGCTAATAAAGACATAAACAGGTATCAAATCATCTTATTATACAAGTTAAAAATATTATTTTTATTTAGATTCAATTTATATTTAAATACACTTTATAGATCTGCATATACAAATCGTATATTAGAAATTATTGGCAGCATTGGCAAACAAAAAACAGATTTAAATCGTGTATTGAATGAAACTAGAACATTGCAGAAAGAAATAAATAACTTAACAGGCCGATTGCAGAGAAGTTTTACAGAAACTGATGAACTAATTTTTGAGGTTGGTTCTAATGCTCATTATGTGTACATTACAAATATAATTACATAAATCAAACTTGTCAGGATGCAAGACGGCATGAGTTAGGCCGGACAGCATATAAATTACTAGCAACCCTGCATACTGATTGTAAGTCACTTGTTGAAACTGTTGAAGCAATAGGTGGTGCTGTTCGAGAATCTAGAGAACTTGAAGATCATATTCAACAGGAAAGTAATAAACGAATTGCTGATAGTTTGGCAAGGGTTAAAAGGGATCTTGACAGTATGAGGATGGATAGTGCTGAACTAAAAAGACTAATAGAACAAAAGCAAAGTAATGCACAGTAGATTCCAACCTCAAGTTATGTATATAAAATTTATATAAATTTAGTATAATTGAAATAAAAAGTAA